AATATATGAACATATGTGAAACACGTGGATTATTTCCACATTTTATTTTTAACTTTCTTATTTTCTAACTAAATTTTAATTATGGAAAAAGTAGTGCTTAGTGGGTTAAGTATAGTGCTTAGTGGGCTAAGTATAATACTTAGTGGGATAAGTAGTGCTTAGTGGGTTAAATTGTGGATATTATTTTAACTACTAAACTAACCCACTAACCCATGTTCTTGAGTGCTCTTGTAGTTGGTTTTCTTGCAGATCATGGGCTGAGGAGTGGATGTTTGGAATGTCTATAAATACCGGCTACAAGACTCAAGGAAGTTGATCGATCGAAGAAATAAAAACCGAGAGCTGAAAAGAATACATGAGTGTTTTAGTGTGTTTTTAGAATCGGTTGGTTGTACTCCTCATGAGTACAATCTTTACGTACTCCTCATGAGTACATTCTTTACGTACTCCTCATGAGTACATTCTTTACGTACTTCTCATAAGTACATTCTTTGTAGTCTAGATTGTTTAGTATATATGTTTCTAGACTTGGTTGTAAGAATGATCAAGATAGTGATTCATTCATAAGTTCTTTACGTACTCATCACGAGTACATTCTTTGAAATCTAGAATTTTTAATATTTCTCTTTTTGTTTCTAGATTTGAATGTAAGAATGATCATGAGGATGATTCATTCATAAGGAAGAAGTTTTCGTACATCTTCTATTTGTATTCTTGGAATACTGTTTTAATATAATTTTTCCGTCCTGTAAAGGGCAAGTTCACAAGTTTTTACTTGTGAACATTTTTAGATCTGAGTATTGTCTTTAGTTCTTTATATTTCCGCTGCATGTTTTATCAAGTGTCACAACACTTAAGATAACATCTCTGTATTAAACGAATTCGGGACCATAAATTCTTTCAATATGTTATTTTAACCTTTTCTAATTTTTCAGAAATTACACAATAAATTGTTTGGCAGACAACCAGGGGCGAGTTCAGGAACTTGTTATAGGGTGTACTTAAATTTTCGAAGGTTCCGGGGTAGCGCCCGTGAAAAAAAAAAGGATTTTTTTTGTGACAAAAAAGAGAAAATAGGAAGAGAGAAAGGGGGGGGGGGGGGGGGTGTGGATTTTTTGTTTTTTTGCATTAATTTGAATTTTGCGTGAGCTAATTAATGAAAATTTGGAGTTTTTTCTTTTTTGCATTTAGTTATATTTTTGGTGCACTAATTAATAAAATTGGATGGACTAAATAGATATATATAGGTATAATATAAGGGATGAATTAAAAGTTGTGGATTACTAATCTAGGAGCCCAT